TGCATGATACTTATTCTTTCTACATATGATGAGTTTATTATTTTCTATTGTGATCTACTTAATTCTTTGAATGCTACTTAACATTCCTATTGTTGATCTACTTAATTCTAATTAAATGCTAGTAAACTGATTTAAAGACCTACCACAACCAGCAGGATGAAAAACAATGAACTCCATATACAACACACTGACAAAAAGTACCAACAGGGAAAAAGCTTGGGAAAAAATTGTTTGACTGCCATGGAATAGTACAATACTTACTTAAGGCCACTTGCAGATCCTTTACCTAAAACAGCCTGAGCTCACTTTAAAGCTTTAAAACTACTGTGCAACAGTAATGAGGTCCTAAGATTTATACGTATTTCATGAAATTTATCATATAGTATGATGTTTATTCTTACACTGCTGTAGTAAGGTATGCTTTAAACGTCCATACAAAACAACTATATTTCTAAAATTCCTCAAGTGTTAATCCTAACATCCTTTTGATACCCACAGGGCAATGGGATTGGGGGATTGAATCCAAGGCCTTTGCACTAAGCTACACTTCACACACACACACACACACACACACACACACACACAATCCCCCGCCTTTTGAGGCAGGTTCTTACTAAATCACTAAGTTGCTTAGTCTCAAACTTTTAATACTACTGCCTTAGCCACTAGGACAGGCTATAAACCACTACTTTTTTTTTAAGTGATGTTCCTCAAAACAATTATTCATCAATATCTTAAGTTGTTGCAATAATCAATACCATTTAGCAACTACCTCTAAGTATAACTTGAGAGAGAAATACGAAAGATAGAAATTAAATAATAATCACTTTTGAACATGTTCTGACCATGCGCTAGCACTGTGTTAGATAAAATAATCATTTAGTGTCAGGTTACTAGTTAAAAGGAATTAAATGCCCAATCTACATTTCTGAAGACTTTTATGATGATCCAAATTGAGAGCTTACAGGAAAATATATGTAGCCATCTGCATTCAACCAGCATTTTGATAAATTGGTATAATTAATAAATTATACTCAGGAAAAGCTGTGTAGAGCAACAGATGAAAACAAAGTATGGTGGAAAACACTTAGCTCAAGCCATCGTCACAATAAACCCACACGTGAACAAATGTGAAGAAGCTTTAAAACTACTCTAATAAAAAGAAATGTTTATACCACAGTATCTGCTGATGTTTCCTAGGACCTGCTTTATTAATCATACTATCCTCTAGGTATAACATGCATATAATTTGAATAAGCTATACAACTGATTAATTAATAACTTACTAAGTATTACAAAGTTAAGCTCAGAAAGCATCAAAAAATATTTATTCATATATATACATAGCTTCACAAATTTCTTTCATACTAACACGAGCATCGATTTTTTTAACTTGCAAAGAATTCCCCAAAATTCCAACTTCCCAGTTCAAAGAAACAGCCAATTCAATCAACATTTAACTCACCAACAAGTTAGTTTATAATGTAAAAGCTGTTTTTACTTCTACAATTTTAAGCTATTCTAAAGTTATGCTACTAACATCAAAACTATTATTGACAAGCATAAACTATAATCATTTTAACAACTCAAAGAACAAAAAAGACAAAAAATAGTCTTTCAAATCTTATTGGCTATACCTGGAAAATAATACATATTATTAAATTTAAATACGATCAAAGATCCTAAGGTGCTTTTTCCCCCTTAAGCTAGTGCTCAATGGCTTAATCCCCTCCTGTACCTTTCTTCAGCTCTATTAGCGCAAAAGCAAGAAACAGTCAAAGAGAAAGAACATGTTTGACTTTGAATGATCAGTTTTCTTACTGTCATGATAGTGTTATGAACAAAATATTTAAAATACCAATATAAAAGTAATAAGGAATAAAATGAATTTTATGGAAATAAGGCAATACATAGTCTTGGTTGACTTCATTATTTACTAGAAATCTATCAACAGCATAAAAATGAGGACTATCTAGATGATACTTCCATAATTATGAATATAAAAACAAATACAAAGTATTTAGTGTAATACAGAATGTTTAACTATACTGCTCCCCTTTTGCAATTACTCAGATTTTTAAATATTTAAAGACTCACTATTTCCTGAATATTAAAATCAAACTAAAAATTGTATCAGTTAAGGCAAATGTAAATTATCATATCAAGTTCAATAATAATTGTGGTAAATTTCTATCACAGAGCCCTCCCCCCAAAAAATTTTTTAAAAATTTAAATTGAGATCAAGTAACAATCCAGAAACTTTTTTAACCTATATTGCTCTTTTATATAACATTAGGTAATAAGAACAGAACACTTTTCCAAGATGCAGTACTCAATTCATACACGAAGCAGATCTATTACAATACTTAAATGAAAAGATATTCTTAACCTAAATTCCCCTAAAGAGAGTAATACTACTTATGTTACACCTTTTAGCTTTTTCATTCTTAGCTTTCTTTTCTTATACTTTACTGAAACTTGTGCGATTGATAAATCAGATATTCAAGACCTCATACCCCAACTTAAAGACACCCAAGGGACTGGAGATACAGCTCAGGGGTACAGCGCTGCCTAACATGCCCTGGTTCCATCACCAGTACTGCCAAAAAGAAAAAAAAGAAATGAAAAACCTAAGCATTAACAAACACTTCCCCAGACCTAAAGCACACAAATTCCTTAAAAATTCTATTCTCTTGTTCTCCAAATACTGAAAACCAGTAACTGCTAAAAGAGACAGCGTATTTGTCCTGCCACATACAGCATCCAACTTCTAAAAACAAAATGTGAAGGCTACCACTAAAAAATTTACTCCTCAATCGTGACAAGTTCCTTGGTCTTTTTAGGTTGTGTTTTATTTATTTATTTATTTTTTTTTTGAGAGAGACTAGAATTCATTGTGCAGTCTCAGCTAGCCTCAAGCTTGTGGACAATCCTCCTGCCTCAGCCTCCCAAATGCTGGGATTACAGGCTTAGGCCACCAAGTCAGGCTCCTGGTCTTAAATTGCTAAAAGAAACGTATTCTTATATCTCTATGTCAATTCCCAGTGTTGAGACATATATATCTGTATTGCTGTACCACTAAGCTATATACCTAGCCCTTTCATTTTTTGAGACAAGGTCTCACCTAATTGCCCAAGTGGGACTTGAATTTACAATCCTCCTGCCTTAGCCTCTATAGGTGCTGGGATTACATATGTGTGCCCAGCTATGAAATTATTTCAAACATGTTATTAATAAAAATATATTTGGCCAAATGCTTATTTGATTTTTTACTTTTCTGACTTCAAGTAAACATATGTAAACAAAGTCTTTTTCTACAGATAGAAGAAACAACACTCAGGAAAATACATTTAATGGAAAACTAGTCTAACATTCTAACAAAAGATAGCTTAAAACTACTGCATGAACTCAACCAAAAGCCAATGAAGGATACAGCTTTGTCTTTTATCATAAATTATTTAAAATCATATTTCCACTGGTAAATAAAAAGAGGTCTCTTACTATTTTGCAAGTGAGGAAGGATATTAAAAGATATCATAACCACAGAATATAGTGCCACGATGAAATCATAATTGAAAAACTGAAACTCCAAAAGTACTGAAACCTTTTTAATCTTCAAAGAAAACACTACAGAACTTGTAAATTTATGAAACATGAAATGTAAAACTGCAAGTGCTTTATAAAATATTTTGCTTTATAAAGCATTTTTCACATTAAAGAGACATTCTAACAAAACCAATACCAGAGTTAAAACTGTCTTAGGAGAAAAGTTGCTTAAACACGGTTTAGATTTCTTACATTCCCAATATGACTCTAGTAGTCTGTTTTTAAAATTCATTCCATTCACATTTACATGTATCTTAAAATGTCACATCATTATTTCGAGAAATATACTACTAGCAAATTAGATAAGAAAATTAGTGTGTGTACCCTTGCATCAGCGATCACCTGAGAAACTAATTTAAAATAAATGTCATTAGAAAAGAAAAAATCACTTTTTTTTTTACTTCAGAAAAGCTTTATCTAGGGACAAAAGAATAAAAACTTCAGAATAAAAACTTTACAATCAATTAAAATTACTAGTATTCCAAAGGTAAGACATATTACATGTAGTTGACCAAAATCTTTCCAAAACCAAAGTTCACTATAGGTCTGGGAGATGACATGAACTGGTGGACTTTACACTTTGTATAATATCAGAGGCTGAAGAACTTTACCCAAGCCTTAAAGCTTGAAGGTCACAAAGCGCTTTTGCTTTTGTGTCATTGATCTTTTCCATTACAACAGGTCTTAGTCACACCTACGTTTAGCAGACTAAACCACAAATCTATCCAGTTTAGATTGAAATTCGATTTAGAAAAAAATCTAACATTTTAGAATAAAATGTAACGTCTTCCTAAACATTCTCGAACAACTATTGTCACCGTATTTTTAAAGTTATTTTTGTCACTTCATTTTGGAATGTAACCATTTTTGGAAGGCCCATTTTTTAGTAATTTCCTTTGTCAGATATAGAGATAAACTAAACCCACTGATCACTACCTTCATGATCATGCCGCCCTAAAATAAATACAGGTATTTCTGTATCTCTTTCCATTTCAAGAGCGATTTCCCACGCCTGGGAAAGAATGTTTCCACCAACAAACACCTTTCATTGAATGGCTGCTATATTGCCTCGGATGAGGCAACTATGAGCAATAATCCATTTTGCCTATTCTAGAATTTACTTTAAATCTCCTACTGCTGACCTAAAAATATAAGTTTTTTTTAATCATAAATTCCACAATAGGTGGGCCTTACATCAAGGCAACAACTTAGTAGTGTGATTTTACTCTACTTATACCAGAAACTCGGCGGGGTTGGGGGGGGGGCACCTTGAATAAGAGGAGTCTTTTTATTTTAAATATGTATTTTTTTCATTACAGGCTGTCATAACTCTCCATAACAAGTAAATATAATGCCCAGCTAAAGATTAAGAGTTAGACAAAATACAAACTTACCCCATTCTAGGTACTCAAGAATGTTCTTCTCTCTTCTTAATGGAGAATTATTGCATTCATCATAAAGGCAGATGAGTATATCCAGTAAAGTCTCCACACTGAAGCACTGCCCATTGGTCTGAGCCGGCCCATCCAAAATAAACTGTTCCAACTGCCTCAAACGCACTTCTCCGGACATGTTTGCTTCGATTTCTGCTGGCTTTCTTTTAAATTGTTATCACACTTTTTACTAGAACTATTTCAACCTAAATTTTAAAAGGTGTGGTTTTAAAAATAAACCACTTGTTATTCCAACAACTGTCATGCAATGCCGGTGCTGAATTAAACATCCAATACACCAGTAACCTCACTTAAAAGAAGCGTCTTCAATTTCACCCATATACATATATCTTGAGGGGAAGTAACCATAAAATATATATATATTTAATACATCTTAAAATAATACAATTGTATATTTAAATTAAAAAAGTACAACGAACTCAATACTTTTTTAAAAAAAAAATTCTTCTCCTTCATTCAAAATTCAACTCGTGCAACAGAATCCTGAAACGAATCCGGTTGCATCATTAATGAGTAAAGTCCCCTTTGCATCCGCAATTCACTTTCCGGGAAGAAGGAAAATAGAAAAGAGAGGAAAAAAACAGCATGAATAGGAGGGGGAGGGAAAACCAAAAATTCTGCTGCAAATCTTCCCAACCACCACTTGGATAATGCATCCACGGCAATTTCTCCAGCGGGAAAGGGAGGGGGCGAGGTCCCTGGAGCAGCTTCTCCTTGGCTCAGAACACGCCAAGTCTTGCCCGGAGGAGGCTTTTCCTTCTGTTCCCGAGGTCTTTCTTTTTAAGGCTTTGCAGTGAGTCCTATTTCCAAGAGATTCCAATGGAAACGCTTCATTTTTCTCCCGGCTTCTCCCAGGGCCCTGACCGGCAACGCGGTGGAGGGTGGGAAGGCGGCTGCGGATGGCTCGGCACCCGGGCTCCGGGAGCGGCGGCTACTCGGCCGCCCGACCGCGTTCCATGGCGGTGGTCACTCGCGGGCCGCGCCGCGCCGCGCCGCGCCGCGCCGGGCGGAGAGTCCGGTCTCCCTACACCCGCACCGCGGCCGCCGCGCCCGAGGCTCCCGACGCCCGTCGGCGACGGGTTGGGGGTGCTCTGGTGGATTCAAAGGACACGGACCGCAACAGCTGCAGCGGCGGCACGGGCAGCTACTTCTCCCCCTTCTTCACACCCCTGGGTTAAGGGCATCTTTGCCTGGTGAGGAGGGAGGCGGCTGAGGCAGGAGGAGTCGGTGCCGCCGGTGTTGAGACCAGAGGCTGCCGCAGCCGGCTCCAACCACTCCCTTCCTCTCCCTCCCAGCCTCCCCCGCCTTCCCGCGCCTCTCGCGCTCGCGCCCTGGGCTCGGCAAGGCTGCTCCAGTCGGCGCCGCACGCAGGGGGAGGCTCGCGGGCGCTGCGGATCCAATATGGCGGCACCCGCCGCGCCCCCCCCCCCCGCCCCGCGCGCCGCGCGCCGCGCGCTCACGCCCCCTCTTCCACCCCCGCCCGCCCAGCTACCGCCAGAGCCCAGGGCGCGCCGGGCGGTGTCTCGCGGCCCAGTCGAGCCGAGCCGAGCCGAGCCAAGCCGAGCGAGGCCCCGAAGCGGGTGGGAGCCCTGGTCGCGGCCTGTGGGGAGGGGTGGGGACAGACTCCGGTGGCGGCGCTGCGGCTGACGCAGCGCGGAATGCAGGGATACGGGAGGACTGGAGAGGCCGAGGTGGCGGAGCGCGTGGACGCGGGTGAGCCGGCCAGCCCGGGGAGGTGCGGCAGGGCGCAGGCAGGGGCAGGTACGGCGCCCCGCTACAGCGCCGCTGTCCTCGGATGCTTGCGTTTTCCCGCACGGACTGGAGCAAAGCGGGTTTTTTCCTGCGGCCCCGAAGACGCCACCTGTCTGGCACTTTTACTAAGGTGGCTCAGAGCTTCCAGTGGAACGCGCCTCACTGGTCCCGACCTGCTCCCAAATTCGCTTCTCACACACTGGAGTCATAAATTCCTGTGTCTAATTACAGCGCTTTCGTTGTCATCTCCCAAGACAGCAACCCATCTGCAATACCATACAAGTCGTGTGTGTGTGTGTGTGTGTGTGTGTGTGTGTGTGTGTGTGTGTGTATGTTCGCGCGCGCAAAGGAGAGAATTCCTCATCTCTATTCCCAAAAGTTTCCCATGTGGAACCTGGTGTTTTCTCCTCCGGTAATATGCTGCCTGTTTAGCCTCAACCAAGGTCACCACCCACCAGAGATTTAGCTGGTGGAAGAAGTCAAAGACAGTTCACCACTGTCATCACACCTACACCCCCTTGTTTGCACACAAGCACACTTGTAACCAATGGCACTATGAAGGAATCTGGGCTGCAGGGCCACCCCAGTGTTTTCTGAGCTTGATCTTGGGAGAGCGCAGTACAAAATTCTCATGGAAGAACTCACAGTAAATACTACTACGCTGGGCCATAGCATTTCCTCTCGAAATAACCATCTCCCCTATCATCTTTATTGAAAACACAGTTATTTTCTGTTCCCTTCCCATAGTCGTTTTCTGTGTTAATGCTCACAATGCATTTTTTTTAATCTCAGTAATATGGAAGCCCAGGAAAAACTAGAAATGAAAATCTGGACGTCAGGTCTAAAAATGAAGTCCAACAGAAGTTAGGTTGCTGTGATTCACAAAATACTGTGACTTGTAAAATCTGCACTTGCCAAGTGTACGCTTGCTTGGCTTAAGCACAGGTTATTTTCAATGTGTTCTTGACACATGAGTAATATTTTCAGGCCAAAGGTCAATTGTTTCCAGCCATGACATCTTTATATGTGTGTGTCTAATTGTAAAAGTAGTAAAAAGAAAAAAAAAAAAGTAAATTATAAGTATTAGAAGGAGCAAAAAAAAAAAGGGGGAAAAAAGTTAATCCAAACTAGATGATAATACTTTGGTTATTATATTTTACTTCTATGTGTTTAACAAAAGTATTGCATAAAACACATTTTTATAACCTGTTTGCAATTACCAATGTTATAAATGTCTTCAGGTCAACAAATATTCTTCAACAACATGGTTTTTCATATTGAAACCAACATACTTTAGCAACTTAATTTGACTATGAGATGATCAAATGAGTAATAAAGTATCAACCAATTCCTTCTGCATTTTTAAGTGTGGTACACTAACAAAGTAGCTCTGAGACAATTAGGTACTCAATTTGCAAATACCTATCAAGAAATTTAAAAACGTTAGGTCTCTTTCAATAAATTGTATTTAACAATGGAAGCTTATGAAATGCAGAATATTGGGGCTGGGAATTTAGCTCAGTGGCATGAACCCCTGCCTTGCAAGCAGGCGGTCGTGAGTTCGATCCCTGGTACCGATAAAAATGAAAAAGACAAAAAAAAAAATGAAATGCAGAATATTTTTGTTTTGTTTTTGCAGTGCAGGGACTGAACTCAAGGGCCTCACCCATGCTAAGCAAGCACTCTAGCCCTGAACTTCACTCCTAGCCCCAGATACATTTTTAACAAAAGAGTCAAGCTGCCAGTCCTCTCTACCTATTATATTAGCATTTGAGTATCACCCTCAGTACAGGGTTTTGAAGTTTACCAAATAATCCTTTCCACATTATTTAGAAAATAGGAGGGTTCATTTTTTATTTTTTTAAAAAACAAGGCACAAAGAAAAGGAAGAAGGCTGAACCCAGTCAATTTTGCTTGAATAATTCAAGCCCAGAGACTTAATAATTAACTAGACGCTAAACACATTGTGCCAGTGTTATTTTAAATGTTCCAGTTAGAGTGTGAACATGCTTGTTAATGAAACCAGTCTTAAACCAGAGAAAGACTCTGCCCCAGCAGACAGAGTGCATGCAGTGCTTGTGGAAAAACAAGAGTGTCACAGGCTGCCTGGCAGGGTGTCTGGGAAGAGTAGAGAGGAAGTCTTATTTGTGAAATTCTACTTGGACATCTGGAGATTAAATATAATACCACTGCTAACATCCAGTTTGTTCGAAATAGTAAGAGAAAGTTTTATAAGGATGATGGGAATTGATCTGACTGTCAGAAAAGAAAGAGGATGAGAGAAAACAAGAAGGTAGAGTGACAGAATAAAGCAGGACAAAGATCATTAAACTTTGTGTCCTCCCCACCACTAGCTCTCTTAAATTCTCCAGTGCAGGGCTGACACAGGAGAATCCACCCACCAAATAATATTTATAACAACCATCCCTACTCTTACCTTGCTGTATCTTAATCCAGAATAAATATAGGTTCAATGAGGACAACAGGCCCAAAAGTAAAGTCAGTGTTATAGCAGGACAAGGTAGTCCTCTGGATCTGGAGTTCTACATCTAAAATTCGACCAATCATTTATAGAATATATTTTAAAAGATTGTGCTGAATATGTACTGATTTTTAATCTGATTTTTATCAGATAACAGTTATTTACACAGTACTTTAGGTATTATAAGTAATCTGGAAGTGGCTTAAAGTACACAAGAAGATGTATATAGGCTATATAGAAATACTGTTTTATATATGGAGTTTGAGCATCCTCAGATTTTGGTATGGGCAAAGAGCAGAGGTGGGTGGTCCTGGAACCAATCTCCAGCAGATACCAAGAAACAGTGATATAGTAGCACTGAGGTAAAGTAGCATTTGAACATTTTATTACAGTTGCTTTGGTCCAAGTAACACATTCTGCTCCTGCAAACGAATGACTCTCTTTATTACCTTCTGAGGATAAAACAATAGCAAATGCTAGTCCACATAGCATTTCAGTCTCCTGACGTGGCTAATACCAACCACGAAGACTGATATTATAAAAAAGTTTCTAATTAATAATTGCTTCCCTTATGAAACACAATGTGTAAACACCATCCTGGCTAGTTTGAAAGTATTATTTTATTCAATCATCAAACCATATGAAGTAGACAAATTATCATCTCCAGGTGATAAAGGAAGCTCAGGCTTAGAAAGGTTAGAAAACTTGGCAAAGATCACAAAGTTAGTGAATGACACGGGAGCTGAGAGTCAATACCAGCCTGTCTGAAGCCAGGGTCCAAGGCTTTAACCACTAAGTAAGTGAGGTCTGAAAGGTCTGTGGATTTGTGTACGCCCAACTCTTCCTTCCTGTCATACATAAGAAGGAAAAGGTGGCATAGAATTGCTAATCCCCCTATTTGGACATTAGAAACTGACATTGAGAGGAAAAAAGAAAAATGCATGATGTCAGAATACAATAATAGAGAAGCAAAGCTCAACTATATGCTTAATTCTAATACATGTTGGCACAGAAGATGGAGATGTTGGGAAAACACACGGGAATTCTGTGACCCAGAATTTGGCAGCAGCAGGAAGCTACTACCACCCCTAAGCTGATGGAAGTTAAATCCAGGGCTGGTAGAACTGTAACAGAGATAGAAGGGCTACTGCGGAGGCTGCTCTAGACTGAGTTCGGAGGAAAAACCTCTTACCTCGAATCCTCACTTACAACAAATAGAATTCTA